GCGCCCCCCAGCCGCGCCGACCCAGGGACTGCCCTGGCCAAGGCGGCGGCAGCAGCTGCCGACCTTCCCTCGCCGCGAGTCTGCGGCCTCTGCACCGAGCCCAGCCCCGGGAGGGCCGATTCCCAGTCTCCTCTTCGCCCTGAGCAGGCCCGGCAGTCGCCGCAGGTGAAAGTGTCAGCGCTCCCTGCATACCTTAGGGTCCTGCACACTTCACAGCTGTGCGTAGGCGGGGGCGGCCGTCCCCTCCCCCACCCCAAGATAGCTGAAGAGATGTGGGTCCAAGTCACTGGATGGGATGGAGAGGGTGCATCTGGATTATCTGAATTTCATCAAGGCTTTCTGGTTCCACCTCGGCTAAAGACCTGTGGATTGGCAAGTGATAAATTGAACCATCAACCCCAACTGTAGGGGTTCCCAAACTTGTCCACACATTGGAACACTTGGGATTCCATCCAGGCGCCTGAGTTCCAATTGTAGAAATTGGGATTCCCGTGTGGCTCCCAGGCGTTGGGTTGCTATTAAAGATCCTCAAGGGATTGGAATGAGCAGGCTCGTTTTGGAAATGAGGAGTCAAAGCGATGCTAATAATTACTAAACAATCCACACGTTTCCTTTAAAAAATTAATATTTTAAAATTTGCTACAGGGCTCATCTCACCAGAGAGACCAAGAAAGAGAAAGTGAGACATGTTTCCTCTTTTAATCCCTAGGAGAACTCAGTCATTGCCTTTCCCCTCTTTCAGAGAGAGGAAACAGGTTAAAAAATGTATGTAAGATTGTACACCAAAGCAACCTTAAAATCCTAGTACAGAAATTCAGGCAGAAGTGAAACAGTTCAGGCCAGAAGCATAGCTTGCCCTATTCAGTACCTCCTTGCTGGTGGCATTTGGAATAAAAAGGAAATTTTTAAAAAGTGAAGCATCTAGAGTACCAGAGTACTATTGTATTAGGTCCCTGGAATGTAAACTCTTCAACAGCAGGGCCCTACTCTTTTAGTTTTGGGATTTGTGCCCAGTCTCCTGGAATGTAACAGCCCAGTTTTTTATTAAGTTTTTATTTTTAAAAATTCATGGGAGAGCAGGTGCACAAGGGACAGAGGGGCACCTGCCACAGGTCCCATCATGCTGTGCTCCTCCTTCCCCTGACCTCTGGCTCCTCTGGATCTTGGGCACTGATGTAGGCACCCAGGATGTTTTCAAACCAATTTGGGGATCCCAGTCCTGCCTAGTCCATATGGCTTCCAACACTGCACATAGTTTGCCTGGTACAATTGGTCAGGTTGGACTAGAAGTTTAATAATGAATCACTGATTCGATAAATTTAACAATTAAAGTGTATATAGTTACTTGCTAACTATAAATCACACTTTACCTAGTAGTTAGGATTCATAAAAAAATAAACAACCTTCTGAACAATGAAAATATTACCCAGTTATATTTCCATTTTTATTTTTACCTGTTTTTCCATCTTAAAGCATATAAAACCAAATATAAACGTTTTATTCTTTTGTGTACTACACAAGGCACTTTTTCACTTTTGCTACTTTTATAATGATTAATGGCAAGCTTCTGTTGAAGTTTGTCAGAACACTGGCTCTTCCTTGAAAAGTAGACATCATGATAAATGTCTTACAACTTTTATTGCTATAGTTTCTAATATAGTCTTTAAAAGACTCTCTCTTGAAAGTAGCTATAAACCCTGATCATCAGTCCCTGATGGCCTCAGGGGAGTTAGAGTTGTTAGTCAGGTGAGACACTAGAGGAGTCAGCACAACGAAGTGGTGGTTAAAGCACTGGGCTCCCACGTTGCTGGCCACAGTTTGAGTCCTGGACCGGGTAGCTTTCTCTCTCTGTCTCTCTCTGGTCATATTGAAGAAGAAGAAATCAAGTTAAATGATTGTTTTTGTTTTTTTGAAAGAAATAATAGAAGCATTTCATTACTTACAGGTCCACAAGATAAGACAGATGGATGTCCATAAAGCAGCAGGGAGGCAGAGACTGCAAGGTACTCACTCAGTAAGCAGGGAGCAAAAGAGAATGGTGGGGTCCTCTAGAGCCATGATTTTATTAAGGCCCATGGGTATAAGGCCTGTGCACATTATGGCTTCAGCATTCACAAGGGGTTTGTGGGTTGGCTAGTTTGGAAAAAAAAAATACACCAAAGGGAAAGTTTTTTACAAGATGTGTTGACCATTAGCTTTTATCACGGTCAGCAGCTGTGGGATGCATTGCATTTAGGACCCATGGAATGAGGAAGAAGTGAACTGTATCACAAAACCACACAAGGAGTGGAAGTTATAACTAGGTCAAAGGTAATGGAGTACAATGGAATTTCAAATAGTTCACGTTGGGCCTGAAAGTGGATGCTGAGGCAGCAACTGTGAAACAAATGTGTGAAAATACTTGACATTGCACACCACTATCACAACTGTGTCTGGCTTATTCTACACATTCAGTAACTATCTGCTGACTAACTAGATGGATGAATGAATAAATAAGTCGATTTCTGAGGACACACAGAGGCAAATCAAATTATTATTTCTATTAATAGTAATACTTCAAAGGTGGAGTTAAACCTATTCTTTCATAGTCTTGAGCATAGTAATAAAGGTTTTATTAACTGCTTTGGATTCATTTATGTAATTAAATCTTGACAAATTTTACCCAGAATCTTTAGTTCTGTTCTTAGGACAATATATTCATATTCATCTCTTTTCACTATGAATCATTATACCTTACATACCATATATTAGCAATATTTAATTTATCAACTTATACTGAAAAAAGACTACAGAATTTATTCATATAGTATGAGAAGCAATGTCTGTTCTCTTTTTTATATATATATAAACAGTTGGTTCCATATTATTCATACTTTAGGTAGACAATGTATTTTTTGTATTAACTTATAGCAGCCACATTATGAGACTATTTTTGCATCAAGCATTTGAAAGTGTATACCCTGGAAAGTGAGATCTTCTGAGACTCGCTGGTAATAACCATTCTGAAATAATAGTAGAAGAATTTAGAAAAATAAACCCCACATATATTATGATCCAGAACATGGAGACAGGGAAATCTTAGAGTGGTTTTCTCTCTGGGCAGAATAATAGCTTCCCAAAGATGCCAGTGCCCTAATGAATATGTTACATTGCAAAGAGATACTCCAAATGTGATTAAGACTCTTGAGACAGGGAGAGTGGCCTGAATTATCCAGAAGGACCCTACATAATCCTAACAGTCCTAATGAGATGGAATCCAGAGTTAGAGACAGCGTTGTGAGGATGGGAGCAGGGGTCGGAGCGATTCAGGGCCATAAGTGAAGGCAATCAGCAACATCTAGAAGTTGACGAAGGCAGAGAAACAGATTTTTTTCTCCTAGATCAGGATAAAATATTAATGTTGTTCAAAGCTAGTGTTTGTGGTCATTTATTACAAGTGTAGGAAAGCAGTACAGTTTCACACTCAGGAAGAGCTTCAAATTTACATTTTGACTATAATTTCCAAATGAAGTTAAGTTAGAAATATGCCTATGTGGTTGAAAAAAATTACAGCATTGTGCTTTCCATTTTACTTATCTCCTATTACTTGACCCTCTCAGGACATTACAACTTCTCAGATAAATCCTTTAATTATTTAGGAGTAACAAAATCAGTCACATTGTATTATGAATGCTGAAAGTATAACTGTTAAACATATAAACAGTTTTATAACCTGACTTTAGTGTGCCTTTACTATTTTGTTTCAAATAGATTTTATTTTTTGGAGCAGTTTCAGGGTCACAATAATGTTGAAAGGAAGGTATAGAGATTCCCATATATTCTCTGCCCTCACTCACACATGGCTTTTTCCATAAGTATACATTTTTTATAACCAATGAACCTACATTGAACATTATTATCATCCACAGTCTATGGCTTACAGTAATGTTCACTCTCAGTGGTATTCAGTCTACGGATTTGGATAAATTACAATGATATATATCCACCAGTACAGGACCAGATAGTGTATTACGTCATCGGGAAAGTATGAAATATTTTCCTATGTTTTTCTATGCAAAAATGCATCATGACTTTCCCAATGACTAAATAGTTTCACTGCCCTAAAAACAATCTGTGCTTTGCCTATGGATATTCCCCTCCACCCCCACCCCATTTTGCCTATTTATCTCTCCCTCCATTTATGTCCTTTTCTAGTTTCACACTTTTGAATTTTACATTTAAGTATATGAGCCTTTTTTTTGGAGGGGGGGAGATTTTTGCCGTAGGACACGTGTATTTGCCAGACACACAGAGAGAGACAGAGAGACAGAAAGCGAGAAATCACCCTCCAGGGGGGATGGCCACACTACAGTCCTTTCTCCTCCATTCTCCTCTCAGGATCTTGGACACGCACGCACACACGCCCAGCGTGAGTTTAAGTCACTGGGTCCAGGACTTGAACCTCAGTCAACTACATGAGAGTCCAGCAACATAGCCATTATGCTAACTGCAAGTCCCGATAAAAGCCATTTTTTAAATTAATTTTTTTGAGGCATGCTGTCTAGGTACTTTTTTGTATATGGATGTGCATTTATTCTAGCACTGATTTCTTGTGCTATTTGTTTGTTGAAAGAATATCTTTGCTCTATTTATTGCCTTTGCTCCTTTGTCAAAGATCTTTCAATTTTTTTTATGTGGTCCTATTTCTGAGTTTTTTATATTATTTCATTTATCTATTTGTATATTTTTTCACCAATATCACACTGTTTTGGATACTGTAGCATTATAGTATATTTTGAAGTTGATTAATATCAGTCTCCCAACTTTTTTTTTAATTGATTGGCTATTGTGAGTCTTTTGCTTCTCCATATAAACTTTAAA